GGGAGGGGAGGGGAGTTGGAGGGAAAAATAAAAAACACGAGGGAAAATAAACTGCGGCTGCGTCAGCCAACACGCGCGGGCGGTACACAAACACCACTGTTTTGACTCTGGGGTCTCCTCTAAATGCGAGATCGGTGGAAGAGTCAAGAACAAATGCCACGAGAACAACAAACACGCAACAGCGGTGGTACGACAGGAACAACGACACCAGGAGGGGGGGTGGGGGGCACCGAGAATCATGCATCGGCCCAGGTCAACGCAAAACAAGGCCGGACCGACGGAGGAAACGCTCGCCACTCTCTCGCTCTCCCTCTCTCTCTCTCCCTCTCTCTCTCTCTCTCTCTCTTACCGCTTGCACGGCCTTGTACTTGGCGAAGAGATCCTTGAGCCTTGTCTTGCTGCTCTCCCGCTCTTGTTCCGCCGCTTCGAGCCCGGCAATAGCCGCGTCGCGCTCCTGCCAGGCAGAACCACCGGACGAACGCACGGGGGAGAGTAAGGAAGCACGCCAGTCAAAGGATAACAAAACCAGCAACCAAACCCGGCATACAACAACAAGAACAAGAGCATCGAAATGAAGTCACCCCGTCGGGTGTGCGTACTTCGGCTTTTTTGGCGTTTGCTCCCAGCACCTGGCGTGTCTACTGGAAGAACCAAGAAGGGGCCCCACGTACGTTATGTTGTGGTATGGTACTTGGAGGTAGACATGTGATCGTGCTTGACCACGATATTGGCGTCACCAGATGATACATGACGTGACGTCGAGAGCAAGATTCGCGACTTTACGCCGAGGCATGTGCCCGTCTGTTCCGTATGTGTGCTGTCATTTTTGTTAGCATCTACCGCGCCAACCGGCTGACCAATGAAAAGACATCAGTCTCAGTACGGTGGAAAACATCGTTTGTGTGTGCGATCGGATGCGGTCGTGTGCGCTTGGGATCTGTGTGCGCTTGGCTGGGTTCATGTTGGAAGACAACAAGGAGGGCACGACCAAAAGGAGAGAACAACAAGGGGAAAGCAAGCAACAACAACCTGCATCTGTGGTCGGACAAGAGTTCCACGCAGCTCTCAGGTGCTTGATTTTAAGTTACGAGGAGGTCGAATCTCATTACTGTTCCAAACACTTCCGGTATACCCCCAAAATAAACACCCAGGAAAGACAGATTCGTCCCGAACCAAAAGTCCATCTATACAGCAGTACCATCAAAATCAGCAGCGCAGCCGTGGCCGGAAAAGGGGGCCACTCAATCGGAACAACCCTCCCTCCGCCTGTGATCGATCGGTCCTGCGGGAGCAATGCTTCGTCCCCTCGAGGTCGCGCGGTCAATAGGCCAACAGCTTGAAAAACATGAGCACACACATACACACCCACACCGCACTGAGACTGACGTCTCTTCATCGGTCAGCCGTTTCGCGCGGTTGATGCTAATAATACAAACACCCACCCACACACCCCCACCCCCCACCTTGTTGGCAGCGTCCACCTGCCCCTGAAGGGCCCCCATGATCTCCTCGCTCTCCCTCGCAGTGCCTTCCTTGAGGGTTTCCAGCTCCCTGGCCCCCGCCTTCAGGCTCTCGAGCTCCACCTCGAGCTCCCTCCGACCGGAGCGCTCAGCCGCTAGGTCGGCCTCTAGGGCGGGTGCTCGCGCAGCGCTAACAGCAGCCGCCGATCGCGATTACGGCCCGCGGCGAAGGGGCCCGGACGGTAGCGGGGGGGGGGGGGCTGTTNGGGGGGGGGGGGCTGTTAGTGATTCATGGGGCGCGTGCGAGGGTGACCGCGACAGACAAGCAATCGGGGCGGGGACAAGTGCCCAGGAATTTGCAGCAGGTGCCGATTTTTCCTTCTTCTGCTCTGTTTCAACTGTGCGGTGGCCACAAGCAAGTCGGCGACTAAGCAAGAGGCTGACAACGCAGTGTTCTTCTGCGCAGGCAGGGAGAGAGAGCAAGCAACGCGAACGGGGTTTTATTTAATCTCCTTGTAGCGGGGACTCCGATAACCGGCTGTACTTACCAAAAAAAAAGGGGCCAATTCGTGCTACTGGTACGTATAAAGCAAAGGACTTAAAATCAGAGAAGCTTATCGCCGTACGTTGGCCCAAACAAACATATCAGAACCCCCCCGGCAGACCTAGAGCGTGGAACGTTCCACGGAACGAAGAACAACTGTAAAAAAGGCAATCACAACAGCAGTCAAGACCATCAAGGTGTAAAAGAGCGAGAGTCGTACAAGAATAGTAATAATATCACCTCTCCTCCAGTCGCTGGCACCGCTCCTCCAGTCCCCGCCTGAGGACCATCGACTCCTCGGAGGTGCTTCGCAACAGGTCCTCTGCCTCTCGAAGGCGACAGGTGGCATTTGCCAGCTGCGGGATGCGCGCGCGGGAGGAGGCACAGCACACACGGAGCGGAGGGGGGTGTAGCAATGTAAACACATGCCGCAGTCGCTAGAACTTTGAACTCGCCTTGCAGGGACGGAGCGACATGCCGGCCCAGGCTACATTTGACAAGGACAGAACAGAACCTGGTCATCGTGATCCTTCCGTAACAAGTGGGGGGGGGGGG